TGCATACAATTTAACCTGTTAGTTGTGTTAATTCATTTGTGAAGATTAAGGTTATTCCATTGTTCATCCACTTTTTCTCGCTCTAACACACAGTTGATATACACATTATTTGCACACACTGCCGGGGTTTGGAACACCATCTCATCCAATCAGGCTTCAACTTCCAGTCAGACACAACATCAGACCAACTTCACTAAGCTCAGGGGAGTAAATAAGTCCATGACTGGCACATCAGTCAAATGGTCTGTGAGGGCTTGCAGACCGGTCAGTGTTGTTGAGGACAACGGCTTCACCAAAGATCGTAAGAAACTCTTGACACGTTCTTCTTCTTACTAAAATCCACAAGATTTACAATAGAAATGTACATAGTTTTACGTATTTTTTTCTTTGTGATTTGGAGTTCTCTGCAATATTTTATTTTTTTTCCCGTATTACAAAGTCCATCTTTTTGGGTTAGTCATAAATAAAAACAGGTGTGAAACACACAGCATATCTTTGTACTGTTATTTGTATCTCTGTTCCAGCAATATGTTTTTTCATATTGGGGAATATTGATTTATTATATTATTATCGTTATTAATTGTGAATAATCTTAACTGTGTTTGTTTTGCACACATAGAGACTGGAAGAGCAACATCGTTTTATGTAAGCTCTCCATTTGGTTTTCTATAGCAATATTAATTAATGTCACATTAAGAATGCTAAAAAGCATTTCGTCTGAAATAACAGCTGAATAACCAAAATACTGCTTAACCTACTGGTAAACAGAAGTTTTTTTGTTTTTTGTTTTTTTTTTTGTTTTTTTTTAATGTCCCGGGAGTCGTGGTTTACTAGTTTGTGGAGGGTCCCTGTCTCATCTCCATGACAACAATAAAGGAAACTTATTTTAATTCTGCAGAGGTGTTCAGTCTCTTAGCAACAGCATCAGCACCAACCATGCACACACACACACAGAGATACAGTATACCAGCGCATGTCATGGTTAACAGAAACAGGTTGAAGTGTGTTGGATAAGAGAGAAAAAATCTGTTTGGAGGAGGAGACTGGTAACATCACTGCAGTAAGGGTTTGGGAGAGAGACGGAGAGAGAGAGAGAGAGAGAGA